CCAGCCTTTCTTTATTCCGGCGGTCGGGCAGGTGACGGGGCTGCGCCTTTCTTCTTTCGCCACCGCCAGCTCGTCGCCTTGGCAAAGGGCTTTCTGTGAGCAAATCCGCGGCTTCCGAAAAAAAAAAAAAAGGGATGCTCGCTCAGGGCTCGGATGTCTCTTGATTTCCGAGTGGATTTTAAATTGCTAAATAAGCCTTTCCAATGAAAATCCTGAGGGATGTCGGGCCTGTGGTGTTCAGCCCACCGTATTGTGCCTGGCGTAAGCGCGCTGGCCATCCCTTCGGCCAGCTCCTCTCCCGTGCGGGTTTAAAAATGGGATGGGAGCGATGGCTTGTGCACAAGAACGCTGTCTTTTGTTTTTGTTTTAGATGGTGGATGTTGATGTTTGTGCGGGTGGAGATAGTACCAGAAGAAAAATGGATGCCCTGACAGATAGTGCAGTTGAGATTGTCCCTTTGGAGCTCTACGATTCAGCCAGAGCAAAAATAGCTGCTAATCTACAATGGATCTGTGCTAAAGCCTACGGAATAGGTAAGATCACTTTCATCTGGAAGTCATTCTTGGTTTTCTTCTTGCTTTTTTGGTCCCCCCTGCCATTCCAGAAGTAATTAAATTTGGCTTAAATGACCTTTGTTTTAAATATCAATAATACCACAGTCTGTTCTCTTGTAATATTGTATGTTTCCTGGTACCTTTGACAGAAATAACAGAACTATATGAGATGCCCTGAATCAGCAAACCTAATGGTGAACGTTTGCAGCTTGTGCTTGTGAGGAGTGCATACCTCGAAATGTGTCAATCCTCCGTGTAGCTAGGTAGACTTTCCTCCACAGAACTGTGTGTCACTGCTTGCAGGCCCCAAGTCCCTCCAGGCTGCGAAGGCTTTACTGTGCTTCCTTGGCTAGTCATCTTGGCCAACGCATGCCAGGACCTCGATACCTTTTGTATGTTCAGTTAGGACTTTTTTTTGGGTCAGATTGTTGTTTTGGCTTCAAAGGAACTAAAAAAAGCAGTCCATTTGTGATCAGCAACGTTCTTTTACATAAAAGAAGTACTGAATGAGCGGGTACAGTTTGTGTTCTGTGACATTAAACATCAGGTTGTAGGTGATAGAGGAGTTGTTCTTTCTCTTGTTGTCATAAACCTCTTCAGTCAAACACACAAAAATAAAGGTTCTTGGAGTATTATTTGTACAGTATTTTCCTGACATTTATTGAAATTTGCTTTTTTGTTTTGAACTAGATCTATCTGTCTATTCTGAATTACATCTTGAGTTTAAGTAGCTTCATTATGAAGATATATGATGGAATACATGTGTGTTTTGTTTATCCAGAACAAAACCTATAATAAAAACATGTACAGAATCTTGTTTTGGAAAATGAGGTAGCCCTGTTAATCTAAGTCTAATTCGCCAAACTCATAATATGCTTAATGGATTAGCACTAGCTTACTTTGTGACAAGGCTGAAGAAAAGCAGTCCATTCCTGCAGTTAAATATTGATCCTTGTTGGAATATTTTCCTAAATTATTTTTCTTTTTTAATATCTCCAGTTCTGTCAGCATTCTCCTCATCTTAGTGATTATAGGAAAAACAGAAAATCATGGGTTTATAATGTTTAATATTAGTGAAGATACTTCATTACAAGCAACGAGGGACAAAAAAACCCCATTTATCAGATGACATTTAAAAAATATGGGAGTTTTGGGAGGGTGTTAGTAAAACATTGATAACTTAAAAGAACTGAACAGGCATTTCCTCGTGTAAATATTTTTCAGTTGCTGGAACAGTTTGTAATGTTTCCTGAAGACTTTTTAGTGATCAGAGATAAAATGGATATTCCAGACATGGAGACACACTATTTATATTATGACTGTGTTTCGAAAGAAAGCTAATCCTAAATTAGAATTGACTGGCATGGATCCTATGCTGCAGGGAAAGCTTTATGGCCTTGTGTTTCTTGGTAGTGTCTTCTGGGGCTCTAGAACTCAGGGTTGTATCTCTACGTCTTGGACCAGTTAACTGGTTAACAGCAAGTCTGTTTATGCACTCAACAACACGGACTTACATTGAATAAGTATTTGGCTTTCCTTTGACTAAAAATTTCGGCAAAGAAACCCACCTTTCACAGTGATGGTGATGTGATCTCTAGCATAGAGAAGTCTGTAGCAGCCTTTGCCAGATTTCCTGCTTCTATTTAGGCTCGTTCGGAGTACATTTTAATAGAAGTTAAATGCCATGAACAGTAGGAAAAAATATTTTTGCTGGGGCTTTTGGCGTTGCGTTGTTGGTTAGCTCCAGTGAGTAAGGTTTGTGTGTGTGTGTACCATTGCAGGACCGTGGCCCATGGAAATCGAATTTGATTTTTTTGAAATGGCTCCTGCAAGGCGTTGTCACGTAGTAACCATTACTTCTGGAGTAGCATTGCAAAATACTTAGAAATTTATTAGCCTCTTCAGTTCATAGAGAGATCAGCTGAAAAAGGTTTGCCTATGTGATTATTGTTTTGAATAATATTTGAACTTAATATGTTATTTGTCATTTCTCAGGGTTATGTTTTTGTTTTAAGATATTGGATGTTGTTCAGCGGGTCTTGCGCAGCTACCAAGCAATTGTGACTTTTTTAAAATCGCTACTATACAGATGAAAGTTTTGGGGTTTTTTTTATTATTTTAGACTTTGTTCTGGTCAATTTGGTAGAAAAAATGCTTCTCTGTTTATAATATTAAAACGCTTTTATGTTCTGAAGTAATTCTTATCTGATAGGGTTTCCATAACTGCCTTCAGGTGGCTGAGTAAAGAGTATTTTTCTGGAATGTTAGATTTGGAATTGACATACATGAATTGACATAATTTTGTGCGTTAAGCTTTCAAATGCTAGTGTGTATCTTGGATTTCATTTTCATCTGAGTAAGGCTAAGGTCATGCTTAAGTGTGGGAATGGTCAAGAACAGGAATTTGATTCTAGTGTAGACTGTTACTAAAAGTCATTCATCACTGCAGGTTTTACCTGAAACCACATATTCTACTTATTGTTACAGGATATTTGAATTCTCCACATCTAAGCTGGCATCTAAGTAGGAAAATTCTTCATCCTTTCTTTTTTTCCTCAAGGACAAATTACTGAGAGCATGCATGACACATAATTTGGAGTTGAAGTCCCAGTTTGGGCTTTGTTTCATTTGATGATGCATTCCTCCTTTTTTTCCTTCTGGCCATGAAAAGAGAGAATTTTGGTAGCCAAACAAGAGCACAGCTATCTTCTCTCTTCAACACAAAGACTGCTAGTGAGACAACCCCTCTTCTCGCATAGGAATTGAGCTGAATGGTTTGTTTCTGGAAGCCTGTAGCTGTGAAGTCTGTCTGTGATGGCTGCCTGGATGTCACAGATGGACTCCAGAGGGAGGTCTTACAACTGCTTGTCCAAATTCCAGAGGACAGAGAGGAAGGTGTTGTGGAGGAAGGGATTTCCCCATTCAGTGTCACTCCCTCCCTCTCCCCAGATACATCTGGGACTGCTGTCATGGATCATTCTAAAAGTCTGTGCACAAATATCAGGAAACCTTCTATACACTTGAGAGATTGTAAAGCCTCGGGTTCTGCGCAGCAGCAGTCAGAAGGAACACATTTTCATTTGGTACAACTTGGGAAAACAAACAAAAATTTTATTTCTGACCAGATTTAGTTATTACAGCATTAATTTATGTGTAGAAATTATGTTTTCCATCACCATGGTTAGAAATTATGTTTTCCATCACCATGGTTATACTATTAAAATTTAGATATGGAAGGAGTATATGAAAGTGTTTCAGCATTGCAGCTTGCTGTGAGCAAATGGCTTGTTTGCGGCCCTTTCCATAATAAATGTTGTTGCTTCTTTAAAACAGCTTGTAAACTTTAGATTTTTCAAAAGGTACTTGGTGGATTTTATTTATTAGGGCTAGGAGCTTTACATAGTTTCCAGACTTAATCCTAACATTAGCCTGAGACTTTTGGCAAGACACAGGCAGGAAAGCCAAGCGCTATTCTAATGCATTGTAGGGGAAATGCAAGTTGTGGCTTTTTTTTGTCTTTGAAGTACTTAATACTTACCTGTTAAATAAAGTTTTACGGTATCGTAACAGCTACCCACAGTTACCGGTTGGTAGGCGCAGTGTGAGCATGTTTCCTGGGCTAAATTGCCTAAACCTCTGGTTTCCACGCTTCTGTTCTTTGTTAGCTTTCTTCTCAGTTCCATAATGAAAATATTTCCCAAAAAGCTGATGTGTTTTGCAAATATTACTTGTGTGAAGTTTACAGGGGTGAAAGATTCCATAATTATTATTTTGTCTCTTCTGCTTCATCCTGGTTTGTGGTTTTATGCTTGATCAAAAGATATGATGATGAGAGTGCAGCCAGTCTCACCAGCAGTATACAAAGTCTTTGGCTTGTTTGGTTTTGGGTTTTTTCCTGCCCGTTGTATGTAAATTTTCACATGTGATATTACAGATCTCTTACGGAGTTTATAATACAATTCTGTAGTAAGAACCAACAAAGAATGTTTTTATTATAATGCAGGTGGTCTTAGTTGCTGAGAAAGTGTAGCTTCTGCTCCTGATCTGCAGCTTAGGGACATCTATACAGTACTAAATAATTCTGTGAACAGATACTGATACTAATGAAATCCTGCTCAGAATTTGAATAAGCTTCGTTCTGTTTACCGTGGTGCTTTGGCTCTCTTTCCATGTGAAACCAGTTCTTCGTGCTTCTGGAGGTAAAATAAGATCTGGGGTGTATCCACTTCTTCAGTTCAAGGGATAAGTCAAATTTGTTCAGATTGCTGTATTTTTCTTTATTGAATCATAATCAGGTAATAGTCTTTGAACAGGTTTTTGTGAGATGGTAAAGAAATGGTCCCTACCCTAAAGTGAGGAGAGGGGAGCCTGGCAATAATTGTCTCTCTGATGGTTGTTACAAGTGAAGTTATTTCTGTAATCCTGTAAATTCTGTTGGACACAATGATTTATGCTTGGAACGGTCAGGTTTTTTGAGAGATTAGAGCTCATGCATATCATGGAGCGGGCCAAAAGACTTGCTGCATGAGAAGTTATGACGGTTTATTTTTGAGTCCTTCATCTCTTATAAAAATAGCTGGTAGAGGTATCTCTCCAGGAGGCTTAGTGGGGCAGGAACACAGTTTGTGCTGCTGAAACTTGGAAAAAATGTTATTACTTTGTTTTTATAAGTGTGGGAAACAACAAAAATGGTTGCTTTTGCCTTATAATAAGCTGACTGCATGCAACTAAGTATCATGGTATAAAATTCACATAAAAATCCATGTGTGAAAGAGATCCAGTGAACTCTGATACTCTGAGTGTGGTGTGGTAAATTCTTCGACAGTTCTTGATAGAAAACTTAGGATGAACTGAATTAAGGATGCATGCCTTCACAGATCTGATGATCAGGTTACGTGCCGTTGTTTTTAAGTTACTACAAAAACACTGATAGTTTTTAAGCTTTGTCTTTCAAACACCTCAGTTTGTCTAAAACTGGCAACTGTAAAGCTTGCATTGAAGTTGATGCTAAAATTTTCTTGGGGTAAGAACTCGGAAAGCACATTAGGAAAAGCAGAAGGTGTTTGCAGGCTTTTAGATAACATGCAATAGTAACATAAAAGTGCCTTCCTTTTGGAATTAAGGTGATATCAGAGATCTTTTTATAAGCAAAAAAAAAAAAGGACATGATTTAATTGTTTTTGGTTTGCTTTGGTAGGGTTTGTCAAACTGCTTGAGCAGAAATTTTCATAGCTATAGCTTAGAATTGCTCAGAAGTTAATTTTTCATATTGATTTTTTTCCATATTGCAAAGCATAAATTTGTAAAAATACGAGTTTTAATGAGCTGAATTTTTCTAACATCTAAGTTCAGTTATAGGTCATGAAAGTAAGGTGTTGAAAAAGATGCTTATAGAAACTGGGACTTGGAAAGACCGGGACATTCTCTTCAAAAAAAGCATCAACACATTCTGTAGTGAGGCAAGCAAAAAGTACATTACATGTTTGGAGTTTGCCTGATCCATAAAAACTGGGGAGAAAAGCTATCCATAATACCAGTGGCTACTTGTGTATCCATAGTGTGTTATTTAGATTAGTGTTAGGTTAACTGTGTGTAATTGTTCTAAAACTGACGATGTATTTCTGAGGTTTTTGACAATGTGGCAATTTTGACATTTTTAAAGAGATTTTGAAGAATGAGCAGACCTGGGTGCTGCAAGCGGTTTATGTGGCATTATACTACAGATAAGAACAATTAGCAGAGATGTGAAAGATAGGACTCTTATGTAGCGTTTTCAGATGGGGATTTCAAATATTGAAGATACTTCACAATTAGAGTACTTTTTGTGTCTGTGTCTGTCTAGGAAGGCTATGTCACCCCATTTGAGAGAATTGCCTTATGTACAGGGCATCTCCAACTAAGTAACTGAGTTGAGAAACTTCCAAATACCATACTTCTATAGCATCCTTTTTTGCATCACAGTTTTTCCTGCCACTTATTTCTTACTTATTTGTGCCTGCCATGTGAATAGTACGATTATGTCCAGTATAAAATAAATTTGAATTAAATAGTAAAGTTAATATTATCACCCTTGAACTTTGATGTGGTTTTTATATCTTAAAATTTCTGTGGGCCTTTAGTCAGGACATCAAATGAGTTATAAAACTGCTCCTTTCTGTCACAGATAGGCAAATTTAGCTGGCAGAAGCGCTGTGTACACTAATGCAGAAAATAAAACTGGGCAAGTGAACTAAGTTGCAATTGTGGGAGGATTAATGTTTACGAGTAACTTCTTATGATAGTGTTCAAATTATTAATCCTGGTACTAGAAGTCGCCCCCCACCTCCCTGTGTCTTTAATCCTGGTCAGTCTAAATCCCTTCACTCCTTAAGCAATTATATGGAGATCAGAAACATGAAGTTGGGGGGTTCTTCAGTATACAAGAAGATTTCAGATCTCTCGACTAGACGTTCAGACTAAAGAACAGTAGCCAAAATACCAGGTGTATTTTTTTTAAGTGTATTGATTTCTGCGACGTGGAATCTCATCACTAAGAACTAGATCTATTTATTGCTAGAAAAGGCTTTTAAAAATCATTAAAATGTTGCTAGTTTAAACAAAAATTAATGTGGGAGGCCTTACTGCCCCGGCACACAGGAAGCTGAGCATCACATTCCAATAGTTGCTTCTGTTTTAATAATTTGTGTAAAGACCCCAATGCAATAGATTATATGCCTTGTGGGTATGTTAGTGTCGGAGAGAATGCTTTTTGCTTTCTGTAGTTACAGTCTATAAAATAATTGCAGCCTACCTTGTGGAAAAGGGACCTGAAGAAAATCAGGAGCGAGCCGGCTGTTTGCCGATGCAGGTCTGTGTAGGTGGCCGGGCAGCTGATGTGCTGCGGGAAGTTCAGGGTTTCTTTGTCCAGCCGTTACTCTCAGCGCAGTTTCAGACTGTCACCTCGGTTACCCTGCTCCGCGGGGGTCTGTGGAGCTGCTGAAGGGCAGATGTTCGTACTAAAACCCTTCAGATTTCAGACATTTTGAATTTGCATTTTTTTGTTTCAAAAAGCCTTCAAAACTTGGAGTGGTGCTAATGCTCTTAGCACAAATGTATTTCACGCATATTTTATGAGCTAGTATTCTATTGTTTCTTTCACACGTAATTGTAGTGAAAAGCAATTTATCTTTGGTTGTTAAAGGTGTAGCTGCTTGTAATGAAGCTAAAATGTTGAATTACATGAGCTGCTTTACATTTTGACTTTTGGATCTTTCCCCAGCCTTTAGAAATGGGAGCTCTAGTTCGCTTTCTGGAAGTGGCAATGACCATTAAATGGAATTAGCTTTCAACAGCCTTTGATTTTAGGTCAGGTTGTCTAATGTTAAGAAGATTAAAAATATTTGAATTTATTATCCATTTCACTAAAAATGGACACCCGCATTAACAAATGCTAGTTATGTAGTGCCAGTGGGGTTTTATTGTGTCTCTTCCAACCATCTTCATTATATAGTCCATATATCAGCATTCAATGTCACATAAAGGAAAAACAGTGATCTTAATTTTAAAAAAACCTTCAAAAAGCTTTCCATTTTGAAAAATAGGGACAGTACTGTATGACTGAGTAGCTGTTAGAGCTGTTAAGGCAACACTGGTTTACTACATATTTTTATTTAAGTGAGATGTACTTCTGGCTCATGTAATTGATAACATTTGGTCGCCGTTTCTCTTGATGAACATTAAGTGCTCTGCAGTATACAAATACTGTGCGGCTTACTTTGCAGTTCAAAGATATGCTATGGGTAGGAGGTTTATTGAATGGAGAAATTTAGTTATTCTAGAAATGAGCTGACTGAAGAGTGAATATGCTGGCAAATTAATTCTTTTAACTGTAGATGTACATATTTAAAACAAACTGTTCAAGTGACTTCGGGGGAAGATCTGCAGTGACTGGATAGCATAAGATAGCATTTTATGTTTGAAAATTATGAAATGTCAGGCTTCTAGTAAGACAACACACTTGAGGCTAAAAAAAGTATTATCCTGGAGTTGAAGACTCATTATTACTGCTAGGCTATTATAAAGATCAATAGCTTCTAGTCTGATTACTGAACATAAGTAGAAGTATTTATTTTGGGATATATCAATTTTTAACTTGTTTTATGTCTTTTCAGTAAGGCCAAGAAACTATTGCTCACAACAGCATTTCCTCCCACTTCCAACTGTTGTAATCACTTGACATTTGCCTTGTGCTGTAGCATTACAACCTTTGACACTGGCAGTACTTCAGCTAGCGATGTATGGGTTTGAAATGCCTTGGACGTGTTTAGAGTCATCAGAATATTAGTTGTCATTAGTGCCTTTCTTTCCTGGCAGCTACAAAGCTGTGTTGATTCCTAGCAAAAGTGGAAGTCTTTGTGAGGGTTGGGAACTGGTGGGGAAGAAATGGTGTGCGAGGATGAAGTCTTCTGTGTTAGTAATTTACGTGCAAGTTAAAATTAACACACTCGGGATCTGTGTTCAGTTCAATAAAATCAGAAGACAACTTGTGGAAATTGTGCCATTCCAAAAGTAGTTAATTTTAGGCTTGGTTTAAAATTCATGTTTAATCCAGGTGGAGTGGTTTTGCTTCATAGGCTCTGATTTTTACTTAAACGCTAAAAAGCTGCAGTAGTTTGCTTCAACACTTCTGTCGTCAAAAAAATAGACAATCAGCTCACTGGAGACTCAGTTGTTGCAAACCGTTTGTAAAATGCTCAAGGTTTTAGTCAAATATTTCGGTCTTTCTATGAACTTTGGCAGTTTAGAACCAAGAAATAGGTGACTTAGTTTTCTTTTTCAGTTTGAGAATGTTTGGCCAGCCCCTCTTAGTGACCGAGTGTTGCGGTTATTTAATTGCTGTGCACAGATGTTTTGGGATATTGCTTGAAGTAGCTGTAAATTTGGCTTTGAAGATATGTATACTTTGCTCATCTGATACACAGAGCATTTTAGCCTGTGATCTAAGTAAATAATTTGTAATTCCAATTAAAATACTAATAATATGCACTAATCAGTAGAGCTGATACTCTATCATTCTGATTAAGCTGGGTCTTACTCAGTGAAACAGCTAGAGATGCGTAGAGGACAGTGGGATGTTTGTCCGTATTGAAGTGCTTTCTTGAAAGGGACTCCAGTAGCTTGAGAAAGCTAACTGCTAATGTATAGGATTTTTACTAAGTATGTGTATGGCAGGAGCCAATTACGTATGCTTGAATTAAAACTTAAACACAAAGATCTATTGAAAACCATTTGCAATATGAAACTGCAGACTTAATTACAGTCAGTATTTTTGTGCTTTTTTTTTTTTGTTCTTTTATACTGTCTTTGAATTCAAGTAAAAATGTTTACTTTTGTTTATAACTGATGCCCCTTACTGGTGTCACATATTGAAACTTTTCTTTCTTGTTTCAGATAATGTCCCAGAGGAGCTGAAGGACCCATTTTACATAGATCAATATGAGCAAGAACATATTAAACCACCCGTCATCAAGCTGCTGCTGTCCAGCGAGCTGTACTGCCGTGTCTGTAGCCTCATTCTAAAGGGGGATCAGGTGGCTGCTCTGCAGGGACACCAGTCCGTGATCCAGGCTCTGTCTCGAAAAGGGATTTACGTCATGGAGAGTGATGATACACCTGTGTCTGAATCTGATCTGGGCTGTGCACCAATCAAAATGGTTAGCTTAATTAAATCCACCTAATGATCTTCTTTTTATTTAACACTATTTAAAATAGTTAATGGAATGAAGAGCTCTTAATTTCTAGGTCACCAACCTCAGGAATTTTAAACACAGTTGGAATATATAACTTTTTTTTCCTTGAAGGGTTTTATTTTTCAATACTTAATTGTTTTCCTCTTTTAGAGTTCTCATATGGCAATGATTGATGCTCTTATGATGGCCTATACTGTAGAAATGATCAGCATTGAAAAGGTGGTTGCTAGTGTCAAGCGTTTCTCTACATTCAGTGCCTCAAAAGAACTACCCTATGATTTGGAGGATGCAATGGTTTTCTGGATTAACAAGGTAAAATTTACTTTGAAAAAAGGGTGCCTGCTTCTTATTGTCACTTTTCAGAGTTGTAAAAGGGTTCTGATAAGTATCTTTCTTACCTGTGCACTTCGATCATCTTTTCCACTTCAGATGAAGAAAATTTGCTTTAATTACTGCTTTGTTACTTGTTACCTTAAGTCCAATGGTAGTTGGGTATACTATCCTCTAATACAGGTCATTATTAGTAGTATTGGATTCCATTATTACTGCAACATATTCTAATTTCATCTTCTTGCTTGGCTTCCCAAGGTTTCGGTATGCATTGGGAAAGAGAATCAGACTATTGGGGAAATGCAAGTTCTTTTTCTTAGGGATGCTGTAATAAAGCTGGTAAATTTTTTAAGGCAAATCTTAAAATAAGATAATTAAGAATGAAATTGGGAAAACTGTAGAAACTGGGTTCTTTCTTTTTAGAAAAGTTGCTGTGAGATTTGGGGTTTTTTTGGGTGAAGCATTTTTTTCATGTAAAATAATAGGATAGACTTCATTCTCTCTGGCTTGAATACACTTAACGGAAATACTGAACCTTTTCAAAGGGTAGAGGTTAAGTTGCTGAAACCCTTTGAGTTACAACAGAGTCGCATTCCAAAGAGAATGTCTCCTTTGCAAACCCAGGATTCCCTTGTTGGGAGTTATAGTTACTGCTAATTAGATAGTTGTTCTTGAAAACTGTTGTAACACATTATTCTATGAATTTTTTATGTTCGTAGAATGGATTGTCCATTAAGTAAGGGGAGGAAGAGGGAAACATATTCAGATGTATTTTAATATCTTTGCTATGCTATGCCCTTTTAGGTGAACCTTAAAATGAGAGAGATAACAGAGAAAGAGATTAAATTAAAACAGCAACTAATGGAAAGCCCAGGGCACCAAAAGGTAAACCAAATTTGTCTTCAGTTTTGATTTCGTGTCTTGATGATTAATGGATTTAAATATAAACATTTTGGTATTTTCTTTGTCAGAGAAATGTGAGGCATCCAGTCCTCGAAACTCCTGAGATTTTGTGCATGCAAATTGTTTTGTGTCTATCATCAGTGCCCTTCCTTACCTTTCGAGCCCACTGGTATCTTCTGACTTGTTTCAGTTGGACTAAACAAAAGTTGACTAACTTGTGTCAACTTAAAATAACTTTACATGGGTAAATATGACTCAGCTTTCACAGCACAAAATATATATTATATATTTTGAAAGCTCTTGGAGCATATTCGTTTTGCATGGGTTAATTGTCTGATGTATAGTCAGAGGCTTATTCAAGTTCTATCCAGTAAGCATACTCTTGGCATTCAAATGTTATACATGTGTGTTTGTAGATTTTTCCACCTTTTTCCCTTGAAATTCTATCACAATGCACTAACATTGCAAACCATAGTACACTTTCATTTCTGGAGAGTGTAAAATAGATCTTTCTCAGACATAATGTGTATTGGCTATCTGAGCCCCCAATTTATGATTTAATGAAGCCTTAAGAAAAACTCCTATGTTCTTTACTCAAATTGGCATTGCTGTGCAAAGGGGATAAAAGTGTGATGTATGAACAAGGCACAATTCTTTAACTTTCATCTTAGTGGCAAGGGGATTTTTATGTGCTTTTTATGTAAGATAGTATCCTTCAATGATAAGGGGCTAAAGAACTGTTTAATTTACAAGTTGATGCATGGTCTGAAGGATCCCTTTAACTATTTGACTCTATTGACTTGTGGGTCTCATTTCGATATTTTAAAATCTAAATTTCTAGGCTGCAACCCCTCTAAAATATGAAAGTGTTTATTGCTGAAGTGCATTTAAGTATTACTGCTTTTAACTTGCATTGCTGATGTTCCTCTCCTGTTCCTACGCTCCTTTCCTTGCTTCCTGAGCAGTCTCCTTCCAAATGGTATTGGAAATTAGTACCTGTAAGTGAACTACTTTTACACCAGTTGTCATCCACAAATCATGGCTTTTTAAATTTCTTCAGAGTGTTTGTTTCCATTACAATGCTTCTTAGATGGTCTTTGAAAAAAAAACAAAACTGTGTAAGCTTTTGGGTCATCAGGCTTAGTTTTCATAACATGATTTTTGCATACTGTACAGCATATAGCATAATCACTTCACAGCTTTTAAAAAAATGTTTCCACAGGGCAGGAGTGAGGGATATGGAGTAGCAGCAAAAAACTAGAGAATTAACAGCAGTTGAAATGGTTGCATTTACTATTTTTGTTGTAAGTAGGCAATTGATCACAGCACTAAGGTGATATAAATGCTGGTCGGTTTAATGGTTGCTTAATCTTTGAATCCATAGTTAAGATACCCAGATGTTTGTAGTCGTTCATTAAGTAATGCTCTTGCACTGCTCTTGCACCTGCTCTTGCACGGGTTTGTAAACCTGTCAAAACCAGCACACCGTTATTCATTGAGATGGGGTTAGAAGATTTGACAAACCGGTTTGGACCCATTGTGACAGTTGCTGGAATTGTATTGTAAATTAATGAGACTGGAGCTGGGAGAAAAGACAGAATTAACATTTTACATATCAGAACAAAATACTTATTTTCTTTACGGTGAAGTGTGAAAATGGAATATCAATCCCACTATCTATAAAACAATAATAAAATTGTACTTCCCATATACAAGCCTGCTTGCTTTGGGCTCAATTGCCTGCTTTTATTTCAGCTTGAAGAGATTTTTCTTTATTCCTTTGCTTTCCTTAGCCGTGATAGCCTTTCTCCTGCTCTTGCTGGTTTTGGTGTTTTTCATTTTCTGTCTGGAAAAATGAGAGCTGTTGTCTTGGTTGCAAATTCCAAAGAACAGTGCACCTGGAAAAGGCAGGCGTGATCAGGCAGTCGCCTGTCCGCACAATCTCTCTGCCTTTCTGCAGAGAGCTCAGTCCCATTCCGCTACCTCATCATCTTTTATTTGTTTGAACCAAACGTGTGGACCACAGTAAAAACTTTAAATATCTGCAATAAAGGAAATTTGAGTGGGGACTTGCAGGCTAATAAAATCTGTAACAGAGCCCTGTCTTCCAGCCTCATTTAAGGACCTGCGCAAAGCCATAACAAAGTACTGACTAGTGCTTATCACTTACGTTCCAGTGTGCTTAAAGATCACATCTGTATTGGAGGCGTACACTTGGTAGCCTTTTGAGGAAGTGGAGTAGGTTTATGTTTTGTTTAGAGACAACTGGGCGAGAGTAGAGGAAACTACAGGAGTGGGATTGACTTGCAGGATACGGTTGAGTGGTAAAGTCGGTGGTAAAGGAAGGAGTAAATAGAGGTTATCTCACTTCTAGTCCAGTACCACTTAGATTATACTGGTTTACTGACAGATTTTGCAGTATCTGTAGTAGTTCTCACACCATGTCATTTCTGTATTTTTTTCTTTTGTGATTTCGTTTTTAATACAGAGTTATCTCTATTTCAGTAGCACCCATTTCTGCACTTTAGTGCATACAAATGTAATTAATTGTATGCATGGGGGGCGATGAAACAAACCACAAAGCCTAGCTTAGACTGTAAGAAAATTCAGAATTTTCAGTATAAAAGACTGAATGGGTAATAGAATAATAGTTGAGCAAAAAACAAGGAACTAATTTAAGTCCATAAAATACCTTTTTTATAAATTTGTGGGTTTTTACCAAAGCTAAAATAAACAAGGAATTCTTATAAACTTTAGTTATTAGTATTGACTGTAGTTGATTTAAATTCCATTTAAGCCTATTGGAAAGGAAATATTTCTATCTACTTTAAATATGGTAGAAATTAATGTTTAAAAAGAAATTTCTGAAGTTTATTTTTAATATGCTTACTTCAACTAAGTGGATAAAAACCTTTTAAGCTAACCAGTTCACCTTAGTGTGCATACTTACTTTATCAGACTTAATGACCACATTTCCAGTGCATAATGGATGTTGCTAATGCATTTGATTTGTTTCTTGTTTGAGTAATCACTATCATATATCTCACTATTTCTTTTTGTGTAAGCCTGATCTGATGCATGCCATATCGCACTGCATGCTGGAACCAGTGGAATATGCTCGTGTGGTACAGTATGATTCACATTCCATTACATATTTGTGGAGTGCTCCAGGCTGGGGAAAAAAATAATTTACACCTGGTAAAAGGACAGGAAAAATAGCATTAGCATATAGAGATGGCTTTTAGAGTTAACTTGCCTTTGCCAGGGAAGCTTAACATAGTGTGTTTATATTTGTGCAAAATAAATGAATGAAACTGGTTGTTATTCCTCTGATCATAAGTGATCTTCGTTCCTTGGAACAGATTTTTTTCTCAGCCTGTGCCATCCTAAATTGACCCGTAGGAGTATGTGTGTGTTTCTGTAGAGCTTTCCTAGGTTGTCCTGGAAAGTGTATGATACCATTGGTAAAATCCAGCTTTCCCTGATGATTAAATACATTCTCTGTATATCTGCATGTTAGGCCAGCACATCAGTCAAGATAGTTTAAGTGTTAAGTGATACTAATGCACCAAAGTGTAAAAGGAATCTTTTTTTCGACAAGGAAAGGTATTTTTGCTAGGCTCTGTAGCGTATTGCTCTTTTGCTTGCCTGATCGCTTTGCTGCTCTAACTTAGATACAGCTTTCTAGTCTAGCTAGCATGTGGGTGCTTAGTTACTATCAACGCTAAAACTTTTCTTGCAAAAAATTGCAAGAAGCAATGCCAAGATTTTGTCTTTAGTTGACTGGCTTTAGCTACTCTTCATCTACGCTCCAAATTACACAAGGGCTTGGGGGTGGTTTGCAGAAGAGTTTGATACTGATTTCACTGTAGATCAATGAGAGTTTTGCTGTTGATTTGAAAGGCCTGCTTGCTCCTCTTGTTGACCATTTTTGGAAAAGGCCATGTTTGGGTTTTTTCTTTGCATGACATTAGTATTGTACACTGGCTTGCCAGACATAGGATGTTCTGAATCTCTCTGAGAGAACTTGCTGTCTGTGGACATGATGGCAAGTCTGTGGATGTAGGTAACGTATCAGAAATCGCCAGCTCATCTGAATTATTTTTTGCTGTGTTTTGGTTTTGTTTTATTTTCCCAAGCTTTAAGTGTTTTCACGTAGTTATCTGTGTCTCTTTCTTTGGATCTGCTGCATTCATGCATATGTGTGGAAGGATTTTGACTTAAATTGCTTGTAATAAGTTAAAGCGTGTGAATGAAGTTAGGAATTCAGCAGCACGGATTGCTTCCCGATACGAGGAGAGTGATTAAAAGGGAAGCACCATATTTTTCAGAATTGGCTTGCATTGAGAGAAAAGTATAACCTTGTAAATTGGTTTTGACTTAGAGCAGAATGCTCTGAAGGATCCACCGTAAAGAGTTTTCAGTGCTTAACAAAAATTCCTTTTTTTTTCTTTTTTTTTCCTTTTTGTTAGCATCATACGAACACTTGTTTTCTTTTGTTAGGTGCGTTACCGAAGAGACCATCTTTCAAGCAGACAATTACCTTACTTTCCTTTGCTTGAAGATTTGATGAAGGATGGTAGCGATGGTGCTGCTCTTCTAGCTGTGATACACTATTATTGTCCAGAGCAAATGAAACTAGACGGTATGTAATAAAGGTTTCTAAAAAAATTTTTTACAAAAATTCTCCAAGCTTTTGAAAGTTGAACTAGAAATACGTTATAAAAATGTGACACATCTAACAGGTGGCAGACTACAGCGAGTTAGAATCAGGTCACGTATGGAATCTGCGTAAAATCAGTGGATTTAAAAAGTAACCTCTCTTTGATTTTGGTTTTTTTTTTACTTAGAGTAGAGCCTTCTAAATATACTGTGAGCTACAATATTATAGATACAGCTTTCTTTGCTCAAATAACTGAGCTTTGTTTCAATAGACCATAAAAAAGGAATACATGTCCATTACTGTTAACTGATAATTCTCATGTTCTTCTGTAGGAGGATGTAATTTGACATTGTAAGATCTAAATTTTAAAATGGTTTCTCCCAGTCTTCAGCAATTGTCACTCTTCAGCCTATCAAACATGAGTTCCCTTTCCTAGAAAATCTTTTTCTTAATAATTCAATGTCCTTGTTGCATTTAACTTCTACAAACTAACATTTTGTAACGGTTTCTAAATTCTCAGTTATGTTGTACCTTGCGGAGTTCCTGAATGTTTTCAGAAGGAACCACAACTGTGAATCCTAGGAGTAACATTTTATTATTTGCAAATCAATATGTCTGGTTTTAATTACTGTAGTATTTTGTCATGATGTGTGTTCTTTGTAGCCTGCTTACCTTTTCTGTTGCTGTGATAGACAGAATCCTGTTCTATAATGAATGCAAAATTGATACTGTTTTATCTGTGGTTTTCTTCCTGCTTTTCCTATCCCTCTGCTATTTAACAGGTAGAGAAATGTCACTGGTAGCAAATAAATATTTAACTGGTGGTGTATAAGCAGTCTGTGAAGTTCCTTTATGCAGTGTTTCTGTTAGTTGCGAGTGGAAGGTCAACACGTGGGAACGGTGTCGCAACTTACTCATCTTTCTCGCCTTTCTAGATATTTGTTTGAAGGAAGTAACATCAATTGCAGACAGCCTCTATAATATTCAACTTTTGAGAGAGTTCTCAAATGAATATCTAAACAAATGCTTTTACCTCACATTGGAGGACATGTTATATGCTCCTTTGGTTTTAAAGGTAAGAAACATAATGAAGGATTTATTTTTTTAAATAAAATGAGGTAAATCATAAGTGGTTTATTATTGTGAGGTGTGTTTTTTCTTTATTTTAGCCTAACGTCATGGTATTCATTGCGGAACTTTTCTGGTGGTTTGAGAATGTTAAACCAGACTTTGTACAACCAAGAGATATTCAGGAAATAAAAGATGGTAAGTTTTTTACTCTTGATAAAAGTTAGGATGTTTTTAAAAACTACTTAGATTACCATGAAACTTGCACAGTGGTGTTTCATTTGGAGTTTTGTTTCTACCCAAACTTTCTACTTGCTGGGGATCTTTTGAAACCAGTAGAAGTGGAAGGAAATTTAGTCCTAGATCCACTTGAGTTCTAATTTTTTGAATGAGATGGATAGGTAATTTTTTCCCCCTAAAACTAATTATTTGCTTGTAACTTTCTTTCCATTAAGGTCACAATAAGATACATATTTTAAATAAACACTGGTACTTACAGTTTCATTTTAGCATTGTGTCATAAAGTTTTCATTCTAAGGTGCTGCAATCTGAACACTCCCTGTTCTGTTTTGTTATTTTAATGGCAAGTATAAGTTGTGTTAATGCTATAAATATATGCACAGTTAAAACAGTGTTGCAGCAGAAGAGCAGTCGTCCGCCTGTTCCTATTTCCAACGCTACTAAGCGAAGTTTCATGGCTAGCCCTGCTAGTACAAGTCCAGCAGACTTGCAGCCCTTGGCTCAGACGGGCCCTGAAGCTTGCAGTCGATACTACCTGCACCCTGAGGAGCCTGACTATCTGTAAGTCTGTTTTCATGTTGTTCAGACTAATCTTCAGTTTATGCTCCTGTTCAGATAACCTAGGAACTTCTGCTGCTAAATGTTCTGATTTTGCTTACAGAGTGAATTTGAGTTGTGTGCAGTCGGTCTCTAAAGTATTCTCAAGTTCAAAGAATCACTTTGCGCTGTTATGTTTGATCTCTGTTTGGCAAATGACAATAAGCCCTACCAGTAAATGTCACCATTGCATTATAGAAGTAATTAGTCTAACTTCTATTTCGAAAAAAATGTGAAAGCTGCTAAAGCAGCTCGTCTTTACTAGCCGTATTCTATAAGTGGTGATATGAAAACAACATTAAATAGATGTAATGTACACAGAGGTTAATGACAAGGTTTTTCAGCTGATCTAAGTTTATTGGCAACCAATAAGTTATTTCAGCCTTTTCTTTGTCTCTAACGTACTATGTACATAAGCTACATTTTAAATCTGCTGTATTTAGAAACCTAAACCAGTTTGATTTCAGGTAGTAGGTTTACTTTCGTATTGTTACATGTGAAAACCTTTTCTTCTCTTTAAGTAACTTCTTTAACATTAATTTTAATGATGTATTATTGTTATTTAAAGAGGATGGGGGTAACTATTACCAATGTTACTTCACAACTATATAATTTCTCTCATGGTAGGAAAAAAATTCTTGTGGTAACGAATTTTTACTTTTCTGAAATAGTGGCAAAGGAGGAAGCCCTGCTTTTAGCCCTTCCCATCCACTGCTCCCTTTGAGACAAAAGCAACAAAAATCTTTACAGGGAGAAGACAGCCCTGGTAAGTCTACCTTGAATTTGCATTTCAACAGGCAATGACCTTCAATGTCAATACAGTAATGAATAAAAATCTAAGTTCATGTATGTGAATGATCTAAAACCGAATTTAACTGCAGTCAGCCAGTGGTAAGCATGCTTAGTTTGGGTAAAGTATCTTTGTTTGCATTAAAAGATTTTAAAGATCTTTTAAGAAAGTTGCTGGATTTTTAATTTCTTTTTCCTCACACAAATGAGCTTATTTCTCAGAATCTCAAGTGCAAGAGATTAAGGCTAATAATGTCAATTCTGTGAAAAGAAAGGAAAAAGCCACTTGTCAAATGTTCGTAAGACTAGCAAAAGTCTTAGGAAGTACCATTGTCATCCAGAATGACAAACTCTCTCTAGTACTTGACGTATTTTTATGTAAATGGTTTTTTTTAATTACTGAAAAGCTAGGTTTTACACTTACACAGGGATGCTCAGAGTTTCTTTTCTTTTATCAGCTAAGGTACCAACCAAACATGCCAACTGTTCTAACAACGTGCAGTGAGGACTTTATTTTCCTCTTTTCTTTTCTCTGGTTTTTTTAAGGTTGGGGGGCTGATAGGGAAAACAAATTCAATAGTTTCATGTTTGGAAATCCAGAAGTCAGATACATATATGTGCACACTTTCCGTTGTCTTTTTTTTATTCAGGCTTTGTCTGTTTGTCTCTGGTCAATATTTCAGCAAATCTGTTTTCTGCTGCCATCTCTCGGTGAAAGAATTTATTCTGTTTGCTATGAAATAAAGTAAAAGTGCTAGTTTAAAGACCATTTCTAAACTGTTAACAATTTAAAAACTATTTCAGGTCATCGGCATCGTTCTAATTCTCTGACCCGTGTTGACGGGCAGCCGCGAGGTTCAGTTCTTGCGTGGCCAGAGAGGAAACCCAGGTAACAGATGCATTTAAGTATTACAATACTGTTTAATGAAAGGATACTGTGACAATTTCATTGTGGCAATGTGGTATCCCTTCCTTAGAACTGGACTGAGTCACTTAATTTTGTTTTCTTTTAAAGTACATTTTCAGAGATTACTGATTTTTAGGCTGCAGTTGAAAATACTTGATTTTCAGTAAGCACTGTTGAAAATTTAAGTATCTGAAGTTACCATTTAGCATTGCTGATCGCTTTTGATACAGGATATGTTTTTCAAGTGGAGCAAAAATTTTAACTGTCTATATTGTGGTCCTTAATTCAACAAATTGTAACTTTTTGTGCTTAAGCGTCAGTAGAGTGTTCTTATCTTTTCTAGGCCTCTGTCTCAGCCAACACCATTTGCTCTTCATCATTCTGCCAGTAGTGATGTGGACCCTGGGTCTGGTGATAGCATTAGTCTGGCTAGATCAATCAGCAAGGACAGTCTTGCTTCAAACATTGTTAATGTAACTCCAAAAAATCAGCCCCATCCTCCATCAGTGAAAACTAATGGGAAGAGCTTGCTGAACAACGTTGAAATTGAGGATGAAGATGAAGAGCTTATTGCGATAATCAGATCCGAAGAAAGGCCAAATCACGGTGATCTTGAATTGCAGAATGCATCGGCCAGGGTGCCCAGCATAGTTGCAACTGCGTGGTCTCCAAAAACAAATAGCGAGACTTCAGAAAGCAAACCAGACAGTTTTTACTTGGAGCCCTTACTGCCTGCAGTTCTAAAACCAGCAAAGGAAAAACAGATAATCAATAAAGAGGATGAATGTGGGGAGGGGAAACAAAGGAGTTTTATAACAAAGAGATTAAATGAGGGACACTTGCCTTTGATCCGCAAGAAAACAAATAGCAGTCATGGTGAGCATGACCTCAATAGGACTTTTACTCCGATTTCTAGTTCTGATTTCACTCCAGTTGCAGATCCTAGTGCTGCAGATTCGGTGGCACTGGTGGAGGCAGGGTTAGAAGCTTCCAGACCTTTGGCTAGTAGCAGTTTAGATCCTTCCCCTCAGGAGCTATCCACTGGAGGATTTTTTCTTCATGCTGCTAAATATGATGATGACATAGCAAGTAAAGTCAATGTAAGTTATGTGAAAAGTCTCAATTCGCATGTTCCAGATACTACGTGGACTATGGTGAGACAGGATTCTGATTCAGATCTCTTAGATATAGAAGATGCTGAACAGGATTTGGTAGTCATAGATGACCATCCTATAGTCACTAAATACATTGGCGAGGAAGAATCTGCAAAATTGCAAGAGGATATGAAGGTAAAAGAACATGAAGATAAGGATGATGCTAGTGGACGTTCCAGCCCGTGTTTGAGTACAATTTCTCAAGTTAGCAGTGTGTCAATGACTAGTGGGAGTGTCCGAATGACCAATTTCGCAGAACGAAAGCTTCAGAGACTTAATAGCTATGAAACAAAGTCCAGCACAAGTAGTTCACAAAAGACCACACCAGATGGATCAGAAAGCTGCCCAGCACCACTGACCACATGGAAACAAAAGCGAGAGCAAAGCCCCAACAGCCAAAATAAAGATAACGTTAATCTTTTAGCTTCTGAATTGGTGCAGCTTCATATGCAGTTAGAGGAGAAACGAAGAGCAATAGAAGCTCAGAAGAAGAAGATGGAAGCCTTATCAGCAAGGCAGCGACTAAAATTGGGTAAGGCTGCTTTCTTGCATGTTGTTAAAAAAGGGAAATCTCCTGATGTTCCGCAACCACTTAAACCAGAACATTTTACAAAAGAATATTCTCGGCACAATGGTGAAGAGTTAGATGAAGTTTCTTTGGGTTCCAAATCTGAGGGGTTTCTTCTGAAAGAGGAGGAGAGAGAAGAAATGCTTAATGATTCTCAAGAAGTAACAAAAGTAAAAATGCAAGAAAGCCTAGCTTTTGCTGAGCAACATAAACCGAAAGACTCTGCTGCTATACATGATTTGGAAAAAAGTAAAATTATTTCTGTTGCCCTCCTAGAAGACAATGTTACTGAAGTAGATATAAATGAATGTGATCTTTCTATTGAAAAACTAAATGAAACAATCAGCACGCTTCAGCAGGCTATATTAAAGATTTCTCAGCAACAGGAACTACTTATGAAGTCTCCAACAGTGCCATCACCAGGAACCAGAAGTAACTCTCAGGACCAAAAGGTAAAACCATCAATTCATTTTGTTGAGCCCCTATCTCCAACTGGAATGAACAGTCTTCGTAAACCACCTCGATTTGGTCAAGGAAGGAGTCCTCGATCGGGAAGACCTGCTGATCTGAAAGTCACTAAAGACAGACAACAAAATTCAACGCGCGTCAAAACCCCAACACCAAGTCTAGAAACTTTACCACATTTAAGACCATTTCCATCCAGTAGCTTGTCAAAGACACCAACAGAAATCGGCTTGGAAAATAGTCCTGATCATGGAAGTGGTTCTCAAGAAAAGTGTTTCTTTGACACCTATAGACTTCATGATGAGAGTAACCAACGGGCACTTGTTCTCTCCACCTCCAAAGATGCAAATATTATTTCTGAAATGAGCAAAGAGGTGAATAACAGCTTCAAGGAAACAGGGTTGAATTCTTCTGATGGCTCAGGAAAAGAAAATGTCCCAGTGGATGAGCCACTGCGAAGCAAGGCTAATCTCATTGAAGTAGACTTGTCTGACTTAAAAGCTCCAGATGAAGGAGAACTTGAAAACCAGGACAGCTCTACAGATATAATTAGCGAAGGTGATCAGAAGTCCGGTGTGGGTTTCTTCTTCAAGGTAAATATGTTATGTTTGTATATTTAGGTATTGTTACATATTTGCCCAGCTTTAGAACTCTTATTTTCCCTTCTTCATTCTTCAGTCTTCTGATGGAACATAATATATTCTGGTTGCAATATTAGGATTTTAAAAAACTGCATTGAAAAATAATTGCTTGTGGAGGAAAAAAAGCTTTTGACTTAATGTATGAAATCCTGGCTCTTGTTGGCTTTACCAGGAACCAGGATTAATCTTTTTTCCCTTTTTTTTTTTTTTCTATCTGAGAAACAGACAAACATACAAATGTCTTGTAAATACTTAGCTCAAAAGAAACACAGAATGCAATGGGAAGAATTTACTGGTTTGAAATCCCAGCTTTCTGTGAACCTTGAAAGAAAAAAAATCTGATGGAACATGGGTGTCAAGTAGAAGCCTGCTTGAACAGGTTTTAAAACTTGTCAGGGAGCTGAGAGTCTGAACATGTTGGGGTTTGATTTTTTTTTTTTGGTCGTTTGCAGCCAAATTTCTCTGATTTTGAGCAGCCTAACAACCTAAAAGTCATGTGCTCCATTGAAGAGTTTAGTTGTGTGGCTGTAGATGCAAGTAAAAAATATGTGTCTACTTGTTCTAGTGAAGTTCATAACTGCTTATCAGAACGTTTAGTTATCTTCATTTGTGCTTAGCAATAATTATTGTAAATACCTCAAATGTGCTGGCATGACCATACTTTTTTTTAATTTCCATTTCAAGAAAGTTGAAAAGTTGAAGGTTGTCTCAATCTCAGTGAATTTGACTTCTGCTTTTGTATAGGATGATAAACATTGACTCAGAGGTTCTCGTTATGCTGGGCTTATTTGTGCCTACATGGTATTTGCATTCTAGAAGGTTTTCTGCTGGTTAAGCATACTTAAAAACAAGTTAGAGTAAGATGAGACTTTTTTTTTCTCCCCTCCTCACAGACTTAAGGGAATACTAAAACTGTCTCTTAAATTCTGCTTGAGCAACAAAAAGTTCAATACAGTTCTGATTTACACTCAACAATTCTAAAAATGGAAAGATTTCCAAAAGTAATAGCTTATATTTTCCCTAAAATCTTCCTGGTATCCTCAGCAATCTTGTGATGTCCAGCTTAATATTTTTGCTTCTATTCTTAAAAACTCTCTATCCCTATGAATTTTGCAGGATGAACAGAAAGCAGAAGATGAGCTTGCAAAAAAACGTGCAGCATTCCTTTTAAAACAGCAGCGCAAAGCAGAGGAGGCTCGGATTCGGAAACAGCAGTTGGAGGCTGAAGTTGAACAAAAAAGAGACGAAGCGCGGTAATAACATGTGGAAAGAATACTTCTTTTTATCTTGAAAGTGAGGAAAATTTTTATATGTTGAATATAATGTTGTGTTTGCTTTTCAGTCGCAAAGCTGAGGAAGACCGAATACGGAAGGAAGAGGAGAAGGCTCGAAGAGAGCTCATCAAGCAAGAATATTTAAGGAAAAAACAGCAGCAAATTTTGGAGGAGCAAGGGCTTGGAAAGCCCAAATCAAAGCCCAAAAAACCCAGGCCAAAGTCGGTCCATCGTGAAGAATCTTACAGTGATTCAGGGACAAAGTGTTCTTCCACACGTAAGAATTTTGATTTGTTTGCTCTCACCGAGTCTGCAAATCTGCTTCAACAAAACGTGTTTCACGCTTTCTCTTTTATTTTGTAGCTGATAATTTGAGCAGTGCTCAGTCTGGTTCCAGTCTGTCTTTGGCCTCAGCAGCAACAACTGAACCTGAAAGTGTACACTCTGGTGGCACGCCATCCCAGAGGTAAAGAGACAGGCTTAATTTTAATTTTTTTATTTTATTACTATGTTATGAAATAGTGTTAGGATTCAGTGTTGTTTGCTTCACTTCACTGGCATGGAGGCACAGTAGTAATTAGTGAATTCATCTTCTGTTTTATGTGGCTGCCAACTCCAATGTTCTGTACAGACTTGCGATTTTGTTTTCTTTTCTCCCAAAGGAATAATAGAATTTTGCTTTGGTAATCTAGCAGGGAGATTCTGACTGGGGGGAGGAAAAGGGACAATAGCCTGCTCCATTCAGGGCCAGTGACTGGTGAATTTATTTAAGACTGGAGGGGGGAAAAACCCAAAAATCTTGCATATCTCTCTTTTTTTATTATTTTTCCCCCCCAATAGAGTTGAATCTATGGAGTCTTTACCAATACTGAGCAGAAATGCTAGCAGAAACACAGAAAGAGATTGGGAGAATGCTTCAACAGCATCTTCTATTGCTTCAGTGGCAGAATACACAGGTGACTGTTTTGTTTTAGTTTGAGCATTTGTTACGAATAGCAGGTCATAAAAAGCTGTGGTACGTTTGATGTGACACACTGCTATTTTTGAGAAGTTGTCAAGTGTATTTTGTTCTGTTTAATATCTCTAAAAGTAAGTTACTGTAGAAAAATATTTAAGGGTTTATTTTCACTTTGATTGAAAATCTTAATGTTCATAAATGTAGGGAAAATAATTGTTACTTATTTATTTTCCTTAGGTCCAAAATTATTTAAGGAACCCAGCAGCAAGTCAAACAAACATATTATTCACAATGCTATATCTCATTGCTGTCTTGCTGGAAAAGTGAATGAACCACATAAGAATTCAATATTAGAGGTAAGCGTTAAAATACCAAATTATTCACGCACTGACAATAAAATGTATCTATGATGCTCACTTCATAATCCCACTGACGCATTGTAGTGAATGCCATTTCCTAAAATGTGCCTGTGTTGAGAATCCCTTACTTGTCGTGACTGCATGGATTTACAGAAAACACGATCCTGTATTCAGAGTTCAACTCGTAAGTTTATAGAAGGACTGAAAATCATAGTTACTGATGTAGTGTTTCAAAAAACTTTGAAAGGGTAAAGCTTGATACAATACAGGAATTTTCACTGTGAACAACCTATGTATTTGTTTATTTTTAATGCAGGAACTAGAAAAATGTGATGCCAACCACTACATCATTTTGTTCCGTGATGCTGGCTGCCAGTTTAGAGCACTTTATTGCTACTATCCTGACACTGAAGAAATCTACAAGCTGACTGGAACAGGGCCAAAGAGCATCACCAAGAAAATGATTGACAAACTTTATAAGTACAGTTCGGACAGAAAACAGTTTAACGTGATTCCAGCCAAAACCATGTCTGTCAGTGTGGATGCTCTTACTATTCATAACCACTTGTGGCAAGCCAAGCGACCTGCAGTGCCAAAGAAGAGTCAGACTCGTAAATGACACTGAGTTCTTGGGGAGAAGATTGCTGAATGGGATTGCATTGAAAGAAGACATGTTTACCATTTTCCTCCAGTTTGATATGAGATGTGCGGAACCATAAACACTTTTTAAGAAGCTTCTAAACAGAAACCGTGGATACAAGTTATTAAGGATGAAGGAACATTGCCAGTGTTTTTTGTGAATGATAAATCTGCTGTTACACCCAATGCTAACTACTGTGGCTTTCAACTGATGAGGGACTGTGCATGTAGCAAGGTCTTTAACAAGTGGATTTCCTTTTACTTGAAGCTTTTCATCGGTACAAATTGGGAATAATTAAGTTCTGTTTCCTCTCCGCCTCATTCCCTCCTTTTTCCTGTCGTTCTTAAAGTTGGCAAGGTCCGAACTTCAGTAGACGGATTGAACAGATCTTGGGTGAAGTGTTTTGGGTTTGGTTTGGTTTTTTAAACAGTCTTTAGGGAAATCTTCCTTTCAGACTTTTTTGAGGAACTGTTTAATACATCAAACTGTTGTACTGTATCTACTGCCAACGTAAGTCCAGCTCTCAGATTTCTGAAAAAAGCCCCAACTTGTGCTGCTCAGAACAGAGTTTACTTGCAGTATCTGTTTAGGATAAGCATTGCAAGGATTGCAAAAGCCAGTCTTTTTTAAAACAAATTATTCGCAAATGTAAAGATTTCTGGAATACAATCATGAAGAGGCATACAGGTGCTACTAGCTGGAATATGCCTGACTGAAACTTAAGGCAAGCTGAATGGAGCACAGTTATTGCTGATTTCAGTTTCAGGTAGTGTCCTAAAGATTTGTTTGCTTTAAAGATGGATTCTGGTAGGTATAGAACATTTCCACTCTGAGCACGCTACTCCTGTACGATGGTGCACTTAATGATCACAAATTTTAATGTTTTTATTACATCATGAAATGTAATTCTACTTTCTTTGTCCTGTCTTTATTCTGAATGAGCAGCATGCTCTAAAATGAAGAGTGTGTTATGTTTTTTTATTTTGGGTGATAAATTAATATATTGATTTGTTTTTCTCATTTAAAAGCAGTTTTTAAACAGAGACATTTGCATTTGTTTCAAAAGCCCAAATAAGTCGAATGGCTTGGATTTCTTTTCATGTTGAAATATTAAATCTTGAGTTATGACCTTAAAAGTCTTTGTGTTTCAGCAGATTAAATTTGTGTCTGTGGTAACAGGGTATATTTGCAGTTCAGTTCCATTCTTTTAATATTCCTATTTCTCATTTTTGGCCCCGGCTAGACTTCCGGGTAGGTTTCTGTAGCTATTACCTAATTTAATCTATTAACGTGCGCCTGCTACGTCTGGTTTGACACTACTACCCGAGGGTCATGTAGGCTTATAACTTTGGTTTGCACATGTTTACTTTTATTTGAAGTGTTACTTGAATATGTATCTCTTAAGTGCAGAAGGCACTACACCATCCTAGAGATGAACTGAGCTCTAAAATACAATACAGTGTAATTATTAAACTTTGAGAATAATGGAAGTTACAAAGAGTTATGTACATAAGGGGAAGATAGGGTACGTCATAAAGTGCTAACTAGATAGAGCAAAGTGAAGGTCTTCCATTGCGGTCTCTCCGTTTTCTTCCCCTTCCAGTACTCCTTGACTAGGCTGCTGCAAGTTTGTAAATTATGTTAGATAGTTTGCTGCTTGTAAATAATTAAAAGGCTTTATGGTTTCTAAAGTGCTAAGTATTAAACACCGTCATGAGTGTAACTTTTGTTACCATGCTTTTCATGCTTGTGCTTTATTTCTCACTGTTTGATATTATATACCATATTTATTTTATGAAACACTGAAATTTAATAAAAATCATTAACTGATTTCCTTTTTATTTCATGTGTTTTTTTGTTGTTGTGACACTTCATCCCCTCAAAGAACTAATATGCTTTAAAGATGTGCTATTCTATGTTTAGTTGTGCTCTTAGAAAGCTTCACCTGTAAGTAGCTGTAATAACTTCACGGCAAGAGCTTAGTTCTCGTGATGTGCAAGAATTAGACCGAAAGACTTTCAGAAAATTGGAAAGTAATGTAACAGTCTCCTTAAGGATTTTCTTCATCAGCCTTCAGATTCTTGAATCTGGCTGCTGGGTTTTCTTTGATCTGTATATTCAGCTAGCGACAGAATTTTGGAAGCACTAAGAGAATTTCTTTTGTTGGGCTCTTCAGTGTTAGCTTGCTTTGGAGCTGTAAAGACAAGTTGCCTCTAGAATTTAGAAATAAGCCGGTTGTTTAAGCTTCATAACGAATCCATATTGGTTGCACGGAAGTGAAATTTGCATTCTCAAAACTATAGACTTTTCCAATGCAGAAATAATTTTCTGTGACTGTACAATAAATTTTTCAAAGAAGATAGTCCTTGTTTGTAGAAATTAAAAAAAAATAAATCCGTGATTCCAGTGATTTGTACTGTTCTGTATTTCATTCAGGCTGAATTATGGCTGCCCATAGAAAGGACTGGACTACAGGAAGGTGATGGCACCTTCAGTGTCCCCCTGGATCTCATTGCACTAGATCAAGTCCTTGTTTTTCCTGCTGCAATGTGGCTTCATTTCCTACTGGAAACAATAGAGAAAATAGAGGAGTAAGTCATTTTCTAAGAGATTAAATTCTCTGAAAAACTAACAGTCTTCAGTTTTAGTTCTCAAAAACCATTAATCTGTAATACCTTGGCAGGGAATACGGTGTATTGATGTAGTCTGGAAAAACAGGAAGAGAAGCTTGTTTGTAAAGAACGTAACAGGATTTGTTGGTGACTCTGCAGAGGAATGTAGGAAAACTGTAGATGTGTGTGGGCAAATGCAGGCAGGGTTTTGTAGGAGGGAGAATAATTCATTTTCTTAAATAGGTTTTGTATAATCTGTGACCAAAAATGTCAACTTAACCATGTTCACTTCTTGGTGTCAGCCCAGGGTAAAATGTGGTTGTAGGACCGTGACTACATGTCTTTGTTAGGACTGGGGCTTGTGTTATGTTTATTGAGTTCTGAATATGTAGGATTTTTAACTCTGGTTTTAGTGATGTCATGCTTCATGCTTCACTCTCGGTGACTGAGCAGCATTATGTTGTAGGAGTAGTTAGGTGATCTTACGCTGATAACTGTCATGGAAGAATAGTGCCAGCATCTTATTTGCTCATGTCACTTCTAAAAATCACTGCGTAGAAATGGACCTGTCCTTCCCACAGCCACGTGAGCGTACGGTTGAAAGGCAAGGGGGTGTATTGGATATTGCAGTAGTATAGCACTGCTCCGTGTCTGGGTACCTCCGGTAGAGAAAGAGAAATAAAGTCTAGACCTGCAGCTTCAGCTGTTGGCTGAGGTTGGTTTTCACCAGGATTAACTGGAGCCGGGGTGGTTCCCCCTTGGCCGTGCGAAAGCAAGCAGAACTTCAGCTAAACAACCTTCCGACCGCTCACAGGGTTCTCCTTGTGCTTCCTGGGCGTTTGGGCAGGAGGAGAGAGCGGGAGCTGCAGATAGAGCTGCGGTATCGGCTTTTCCGATTGGCGGTGGAAGGGAAATAAATTATAAGAGCTGTCTAAAACCACGTGATTTCCCCCCCCGCCCCCACTTGCTGTGTTCGCTCTGGCTAGAGACTTAATTTCCTATATTGAGTACTATGAAAGTAGGTCTGTCTTTGACCTCTCTCGATTTCTTACTAGTTTCTTACACATAATACATACAAGAATGTACATCTTTAAAGTACTTTTAAATGCAATTTCTTTTTCTCAAACTTCCATACTTCAGCCTGTTGTGTATTTACACGTGCTGTTTGCATTTGTAGTTAATGTGTCTTTGTCTCATTTTCATCATGCTCCCCCGTAGAGTAAGAGTTCAGGCAAAGAATAATCTGAATTTTGAGAACACTGACTGACTTTGAAAACTTTAAAACAGTTCAACACTACGTGCTGGGCTGCTGGAATGGTTGAGTGTGCAAAAAAAAATAAATCTGACTTTTCTCCCCAGTAGACTAGAGAGGTAGTGCGTAGACACCGGTGATGGGAGTGGGATTTTCACTTGCTGGGGCCAATGGTTTGGGGCTGTCGTATAAAGAGTAATGGGAATGAGTTCTCAGGGCTTGAATTTTCCATTAATTTTGCTTTTTTTCCTAACAAGTCTTCAAATCTGATCACTAGAGGCAGTGTCAGAGAGCTCAAAACTCCCTCACTTTGTTTTTTGGGGGGTTTTGTTGGGTTTTTTTTAAATATCGCAACAAACAAGATGCGTCATCTTCGCTCTGAGCTGACTGTCCTTGGAATTCAGTGACTGTTGTACTTTGGGAGCAGCATCCCACCTGGGGTTTTTCTTCTCTCCTACGTTAGTATAGCCTTCTGGTTGTGTATTAAGCTATCATCCATGCTATGCTTATCCAATTAAAGAGCTTTCAGTTCATTAGGGTTTTAAATTTCGCTCATTTGAAGCAGTTGAGCGGGATGCAGGCGGCCGCGTTCTGGGGTGACTGAGGATGGCAGCGGTGGGATAAGGCGCAGGGTGCGATTTCTGCGGCGGGTTTTCGTGGCTCAGGAGCTGAATTCTGAGACTTCGGGCGAGGCTGGTTTCGCTGTGACGCTCCAAGGACACCAGAAGGTGACAGGCAAAGAAGATTTTTGAGAGACTGATTTTTGTACCCATTTTTACTGCTGTGCTACATACGCAGAACTGGAGAAATCGGTGAAGTATTTTGGGGGGGGAGGTGTTTTGTGTCTGCTTCTGACAAGTGAAAACTTTCATATAATGTTCTTTAGGACAGTTTGAAATTGCGATATTCCTGTGGTCCACTTGAGTATATTTTTTAGATGTCTAAAATACATCTTTCAACCCATTAAAGGAAACAAAAAAATAGAATTCTTGTCCTCACTTACATTGATCAGATGTTCTATTGTTTAATTATATATATGAAGACTGAGTATTAAAAATGGGAGAAAAAGTTTACTTCATCTTAGCTCTGTAACTGGTTTTTGGGCGTTAAATGGATATTATGACATGGATGGCGCATCTGATGATGCCTTTAGCTTTAAGACGTTATTGCAGCCACCAAGGAACACGGATGTGACGTGTCCTCCGGGATTCCCCACAGGTAATGGTGAGCGGTCACGACACAAAGGCACGTTTAATCCGCCTCTGTCATGTCCTTCAGGAGCTAAGAGAAGAAAAGAGGGAATCTCGACTTGTTTTTTGACAAAAGGGTATGACG